GTTTTGTAAATGCATCTTTTAAGCATGTTTTGTAATAGATGATTTGTCTGATGGAGTGTAATAAAAATTGAAATACTGAATTCTTTCATATTCAACAGAGTCTTGTTTATTCTGGCAAAACAAACTAAGCACACACACTTCCCAACTGTAGTAAAAAACAAAAGGGTGCAGTAAGTCATATTTAAAAAGCAGTTGAGCTGAAAACACTTACAAAACAAAACAGGCAACAGGAAAATGTAACATTAAGATCTTAAATACGTTCATGTTTCTTCCTTTCCAAGTTAACCCATAAAAGCTAGTACATTCTACCTGCAATTTTTAAATGAGCTTTAAGAAAATCTTATCATGTTTCCAGAAAAGCTTTGCAGGATGTTAGGGCACATTGAGAACAGAAATTAAATGGATTCCTGATCCTGCAACATACTAAGCACTTCTTCTGAGTGTAATCACTTAATATTTCCCAGGCTTTGCTCAACATCACGCTTAATTAAACTTTTGCTAATAAACATGAAGAGCTTAGTTTAGCCCCATTGATGGACTCCATTGACAAAACAGTTGTTCAGTCAAGCCTGCATGTGTATTTATTTTTAGTTGATAAAATGTTTGCACATATATATAATATTTTATAAATAGAAGATATTAAAAAAGTTTTAATTACCTCATAAAGTAAATTAAAATCTTTTTCTTTAGAGGATGTGTTTCCTTTGAGAAGTTTGTTATATTTGAAACTGAGATATTTCACAAACAAATGTATATCTTTACTATGTTCTTGTGTACTGCGTTCTATGCTTGAATGTTCTTAAATGCAAAAGCATTAATTACAACTTTGTTCTTATTGAGAAGACAGGGTTAAGAACGTAAATTGTAAATTTACTCATAAAATTACAACATATTTTTTCTTTCAGTGATGCTATTAAGAAACTTAACAGGACATTATGGGAATGTCCCATCTCTGGCAGTGTTCAAGGCCAGGCTGGATGATGCACTGAGCAACCTGGTGTAGTGGAAGGTGTCACTGCCCACAGCCCACAGGTCCTGGTCGATGGCAAGTTGAATATGAGTCAGCAGTGCCCTGTCAACCAGGAGGGCCAACCATGTCCTAGGGTGCATCAGGCAAAGCATCACCAGCCAGTCGAGGGAGACGATTGTCCCACTCTGCTCTGCACTGGGGCGGCCTCACCTTGAATTTTGTGGCAGTTTTGGGGGACCACAATGTAAAAAAGACATTAAGCTATTACAGAGCGTCCAAAGGAGGGAAATGAAGATGGTGAAGGGCCTTGAGGGGAAGCCGTATGAGGAGCAGCTGAGGGCACTTGGTCTGTTCAGCCTGGAGGAGACTGAGGGGAAACCTCATTGCAGTTACAACTTCCTTGTGAGGGGAAGACGAGGGGCAGACACTGATCTCTTCTCTATAGGGACTAGTGACAGGATCTGAGGAAATGGCCTGAAGTTGTGTCAGGGCAGGTTTAGGTTGGATATTAGAAAGAGGTTCTTTCCCCAGAGGGTGACTGAGCACTGGAACAGGCTCCCCAGGGAAGTGGTCACAGCACCAAGCCTGACAGAGTTCAAGAAGCATTTGAATGATACTCTCAGGGACATGATCCTGTGCAGGGCCAGGAGTAGGAGTCGGTGGGTCCCTTCCAACTCAGCATATTCTGTGATTCTGTAATTCTGTGATCTTTAAGGTCCCTCCCTTCCAACCCAGACTATTCTATGCTCTATGACAGAACCTTTCCACACTACACCCCATCACTTCACCTGCAGAATGGGTGCTTTTCTGGGGGCTACATTCATTTTGCTTCTACTTTAAAGTCATTAACCAGAATTTTAATACAAGCTAACTTGTTTTTTTGGTTTTGCTTTTTTTTAAATAAAAGTTTGTACATACTATGTATTTTCCAGCTACATAATAATAGGTATCATACTGAAGGTTTTGCTCAGGTAATACTTTCCCAGGGAGGCTCAGAGGAGGTTTTCCTGAGAACTGCAGGTAAGAACAAGTATTCCCTTTGTATTTGGGTACAAACAGAAAAGTATGATTTCTGTTCATCACACATTCCACCAGAAACATAAGGAGGGGAAAGGAGCATTTCTTCAGGAGCATTTCTTAATTGTATAGATGGAGAAATTAATTGTTTTTCTGTTTAATAAAAGAAACTCTAAAACCTGAAGGGGAAGGCATAAAATGGAATTATTAAAGTCTCTAGTCATTTACAGTCAGCTATGGTTGGGAGGCTGTGCTCCAGCCCATATGTGATGGAGAGAAGTCTCTGGTAGCTTAACCAGAAGGTCAAAAGAAAACCCACTCTTTGGAGGCCCCTCATCTTTTCTCTCATAATCTGAGAAAGTCCATGAAAGCTATGGCCCATACTGTGTTATGAATCATATGCAGGTTTGTTATTAATAGATGTGGTGGCATTTTTTATCTCACACGAATTTTATTCCATCATTATGATAACTTGGTCTTATTTTGTTCTCTTACCTCAAGGCTTTTTTTATTTGTGAGTTAACATTTGATAGTAAAGCAGCAACCAGTTCACCTGTTTTCCTGAAATCTTAGACTTGATAAATAAGCACTGCTAATTTATGAAAAGCTAGTGATGGTCATCATAATAAAGAGACACTAAAAAACAGACTAGTAAAAGTACAAAAAAAGCAGGGTCATCAAGATCTTCCAGAACCAATTTTTGAGCTGGAAGCAGAAAGCGGGACCATTACTAACTATGTGGCAAAAGAAGTAGAAGAATGGGAAAGAAAATTAAATATATCTATAAATCACTGGTAAAGACAAAACAGCCTGGTGGGCACGGACTGTCCTTTAGACCAGTGTTTCCCAGTTTTGCCTGCTTGGGTGCATGCAGCAGGAGCAGCAGCAGGAGCAGTGGGAGCACTTCTCAGGAGAGGAGGTGTTCAGCTGCTCAGGCATGATGTAAAGGACTCTTTGAAGTGGTCAGTATACCAATAGCTATCTCTGTACCATGGTCTAGTGACCATCTTGTACAACGTCTCTGGACCTAAGTGCCTTAGGAACAGAAGTGGGAAGTTGCACATAAAAAGAGAATTTTCCTCTGCAAATGAACTGCAAATTATGAAAAGAAATTATTATTATTTGACAAAGCCATAAAGAAACCAGCAGGCAACTGTTGTACTCCAAGTTCAGCAAGAGCTACTTTGACATAGGATACCTATGGGTATGTGGCAGCATTTTTGTATAAGAGGCATTACAATGATTTGCACTTCCTAGAGTACAATATCTGTTTCAAACATGTGCTCTTAAAGCTAAACATTTAATTTCAAGTGTGTGTTAATGAAATTTGAGTTTTGATAGTACTGGAAATTCACAGCTCCCATGGCCAATATGAGAATGGATACCTAACTGCAAAACAACAGCCATTTTTCTAGAGGACATTCAGTTTGACAGTTACAGCTATTCCCTTCTGAATATTTCTGAGTTTTCCTGAGGAACTGCAAGTACAAAGACTAAGTAACTAAACATGAAACACTGCCTTTATAGTATAAATTAGTAGTATCACTGACTCCTGTGATATCCTTTGACATTCTTAAATTCCCTGTTACATTAATGGCTCCTTTTAAAAATTAATGTATAAATATTTATTTATGTAGAAGTTTGTAGAAAAAGTTAATGGTTTAAAATCACTCAGCCTCTCTTGGACATTAATGGTACTTTTATCTGCACTGTGTGTATATAAAGGGAATTATTGCATTGGCAGTTACTACTTCTGGTTTTATAAGTAACACATATAAGTGAAAAATGTAAGTCACATCACTCAGCAGATAAAGAAAGACAAATTTAAAAAGGGTGGTTTATGGAAACCTTTAATGGCAGTTTCATTGTAAAAGGTTAGAAGTTCTCTCACTTTGTTTGAAGAGTGGTGTGGTCTAGCTGTACTTATACATGTGACATACACATGCTTTTTTACTTACACAAGTGGTCTAGTTCTAATTATACACTGGGAAGAAAATACTCATAATTGCAACAATTGATTTCTTGGTCTGTCTTGCATTAGGCAAACATTTTTGCAAAACATGTTGTCTCACTTTTCCTGTCTCTAAAATTAGAATAATACTTATTTAGCAAAATTAACATTTAAAATTAGTATTTAATTCCAAGTATTATCTGAAATTATTAGAGTATTACCCCATAATTTGATCATTCTCTTTCCATCCATAGGGAAAAGGAAGTCTCCATGCATCATAGCTGTCAGCGCAGAAGTCAGTTGCTTCTTCTTCCTAATCCTCAGACTGTTCTCTGTGACTATGTCTATGTTAGTACATAAAATTAGGATTGTTCTCTGGTCCTAATGCCAAGAGGCACAACTAAGCCTGCATCCCTGTGCCCAAATTCAGATCTCACATTATTCTCTGAACTACACTGGGGCAATTTTCTTAGAGATCTAGACTGTGCTAAGGGGACCTGCTGACCATTAAACCACTAATTGTGGGACAGCATTTGACACATCCCCAGCTCTCTGTGATTATCAATGAGCATATAACCAAAAACCAAAGAAAAACACCAAGAGAAGCAGTCCTGCTGCATGACTTCTTCCTCCCAAACCTCTTCCTGAAGGTAATCTTCAGGAAGGAGGGTATAGTAGGACAGACCCCCTCATATTTCAGATGTTGCCATGACACCACTATGTCTTTTTCTGAAAATTTTATTTTCGGCTTCTATGGAGATCTAAAATGCAGAGAATTAAATTCTGATACACCTGAAGTGGTTTATTGCATCATTTCATGAATTAAATGCCTTCCATGAGATTAGCTGTGGAAACAGTTGTCTTCAATCCTATACATATGGTATTTAATCTTGATGAAGATAAAAATTTAATGTATCTTGTAGGAAATATAGCAGAAGAAAAATACAAGAAATATTGCCCTGATTTAATGCTCCAATTATCTTAACGGCTACTTGAATTTAATTAAATATTATATTGCTTGAAGATGTTTCATAAATGATTTGCAAATGTACATGGGCAGAGAGGTGGCATGAATCTGTATTATTACGGCTTAAAGATTTATTAGAGGATCTACAAGATCTATGGTAATCAAAAATGTGATCACATAACAGAGTAAGCCTTACAAAAATGCCTATCTTTTTAATGAAGCTATTACAGCTGGTGCCAGGGGTTTTTTTCCTTTTCTAGTTTCTTGCTTCAGTCCACACTGTGATATTCATGCATCTCTTGAAATGCCTCACTTCTGTGAATAATCTTACATTTCCCCTGGCACTTTGCAGGAAGCAAGGTGGTCTGTTATATTCAAAATTCTATGCCCTCTGAAGTGCATGAGATTTTGACACTGACTCCTGTGGGATGTCTTGGAGTATATGCAGCACTGTGTGCAAACTGCAACTTAATTGGAAATGATACATGGCATAGCTGAACTGTTTACTTTGCATTCTTTTTTCAAAAATACAAAATTTCATTGCAGAGATAATTTGAATACCTTTGTCACATTGAAGAGGGAAAGAATTAATTAAAATCTGGATTGCCAATCAAGTTGAGAACACCATATGGAAATCCCCATTAAAAGCAGGCAAGTAGCCGTGCTCAAATTGTGATAGAGACTAATGTATTTTGCAAATCAAGATGCCATCTTCAGTCTGTAACACAGTGAAATGCACAGATTTTTCCCTGCCCCCATTCCCACTCTTTTTGCTCCAGTCTAAAGTGCACTCTGTAATGCATTATTAAGCCCAATTCTGACCCAGTTTCTTAATTATCTGTAAGCTACAGAGAACTTGTAGCAGAATATTAACTAAGGCAAGAGATGTAATACAGAAGAATCCACAATGGCATTAGAGAGAATCGTTAGCATTTTGCTAAGAAAATCCTTTACATTTTAATATTTAACTTAGCCTGACATGCAGAATTTATATTTTAAGGAGGTACAAAGTATATACCACTCAAGCCACCAAAACAAGCTGGGGGGGGGGAAGCATTCCTGGATTCGCAAAATCAAAAAACTTGTAGCGTACTGAAACATTTCTGGAATTATTTTTTCCAACTGTTCCAAGTGGATACCATCGACAGTTGTTACAGTCTCATATATCATTATGTGCCCAACTGTTTAGTTTAGATGAACTGACGAAGATAACCTGGTATGGGTTGTACATACATTACAAAATGTTGTGAGGTACAATTGGGACAAACAACTGTCATAGCAGATGATAGTGTGAACAAATCCTCCAAACCCTCTTGTGCCTGGTTAATATCAAGTCAGCAGGTGCAGTTTCATACTCCTCTTCACTGCTGCATATTAGTGGAATATGAGAAGTTTTCATGGTGAAAAATCAACCACAGATATACCGTATCAGGAATAAAGAACACCGGGACTTCTACCTACAAAGTTGCAGGCACGTGTGATTTTGAAGACTTGCCGTATCTCTGATGTACAAGTGTTTGAGTAAGTCAAAAACATACTGAAAGAGCAATTTATTTAGTGAGAACAATTTTTAATATAAAACATATTTCAACATTATTTGAGGAAAAATACTTTCCCCACCCCATAATTGAATGATTTGTGGTATGCGCATACAGAAAGTCAAGCTTTCATTGTAAAATTTAGACAGCAGAGAAAGTCTGCAAAATACATTTATAATTTTGTGGAAAAGAATGTATTTATCCCATTCAAAGATCAAAGAAAACCCATGCAGTCCCCTTGTCATCAAGCTGAGGAGTCACCTAACTGCAGAATATGGAATTTGTATAAATGGTTTTTTTTAATCAATGAAGAAACCCTACTGTTTGAAAAAGAGTAAGAGTCAGTTAAATACAATGTTTTATTAGTAACAGTGTCAAATGCAGCTCATGTGGCAAGCTGGTTCTTTGCAAAACATCAGATGATTGGAAAGTGCTGACAAGCTTAATGTACATTCAAGTACGTTGCTTCAATTTGAAGTGTATTCTTGCTAGTAGAACATGTGGATGTATCATTCCTAATGCTAACACTGTGAATTTTCCACTGCAACCTGCCAAATATTCTTCTTTTAGGAATAAAGGTGTCCAAAATTTCTCCAAAGTGATAAACAGCAAGCCTGAGGCACCTTTCATTTACAGATATGGAAAAAACCTCAAAATCAATATCTTATACTCAAGAACCTAAATCAGTGTGCAGGCATTGAAAACAAAAGACCAATTTTCAAAGGCAGATTTTGTAAAAGTACCACACGTTTTTCCATTTTCTTTCTAGACTAACCCGTGTATTCAGTTAGGCCCAAACATTCAGGCCAGAGTATCATCTACAGAGCACAGACACCTTTTTTTCATGCATTTGCAGTTCGTTTGTGTTTGATTGCAATCAAGCCAGCATTTAGTCAACTGTCCTTTGGCCCAAGGAGAGAGCAACTGTGACTGCACATGCTCCAGGGACAAAGCTGGACACCAGGTCGATGCTTACCAATGTAAATATGTCATGCAAACCATCTGTGACATACTGACCCCATCATGTTTGGCTCTTTGACCTCCTGAAGTGCTCTGATCCAGTGGTGGACTATGAGATAATATGCAAAACTTCTTAGGTTGGAAACCATTCTGACTGATGCAGACATGGTTGGACAATCTAAAGGCCTTAATCTTGTTTCTGTCAGGCAAAGAGAAGTCTGTAGTGAAAATTTGCTGGTATCTATTGTTCACATCTTAGCATAATCACCAGTGGTATTATTGTTAAATGAAAGAGAGTCCCCTTCCCTAAAAGCAAAATCATCTATTTAGACACAGCAACGTCCTGCTGCCTTATCTCATGTCACTTCATGGTTGTCGCCATTTCTCTCACAAAAATATCCAGTAAGAAAGTTTTTTGCCTTCTCAGGCCTCCATTTCTTCCATCACTTCCATCACAATTGTTCGAGGGCCAGTCAGGATGAGGTTGCTCACTGTCCTGTAATCCACGTGGAGAACATTGAGGCCATTGACAGATACAACAAACTGGCAAACCTGAGGAGAAAGCAAGCACCAAAACCAGTTAGGCATTAGACTTTTTTTTGTTAGGTTATTTACACAGATGTACTATCAACTCCTGAGCAGGCAAACCCTCCAGAACTCTTCATACCATCTCATTCAGCACTCTTAAAAAAACCCACATTTCTTAGAATTAATTTCGCGAGTTAATTTTCCATTTTTTCTTTTGAAATATCACTGCGAGTTTCAAATCTGTGGAATTTTGAGGTCCCACATCAATAATTTTTCTCACAAAAAGGAGATTTTTCTTCTTATAACAATGATATTTTATTATACCAATTGTGGGTTGCAAACAATATGGGACATCCGGCTCTGGGGTCCCTAGCACAGCAAGGATATCAACCTGTTGGAGCAACTCCAGAGGAGGGCCACCAGGATGATTAGAGGGATGGAGCACCTCTCGTATGAGGAAAGGCTGAGAGAACTGGATTTGTTCAGCTTGGAAAAATAAAGTTTCAGAGTGACCTAATTGTAGCCTTCCAGTACCTGAAGGGAGCCCACAAGAAAGAGCCTACAAGGGCGTGTAGTGACAGGATAAGGGGGAATGGAAACTAAAAGAGAGTAGATTAGATTACATATGAGGAAAACATTCTTTTTGTGAGGGTGGTGATGCACTGGATCAGCTTGCCCAGAGAAGTTGTGGATGCCCCCTCCCTGGAAGTGTTGAAGGCCAGATTGGATGGAGCCCTGAGCAATTTGGCCTACTGAAAGGTGTCTCTGTCCACAGCAGAGGACACATCCGTAAACTCCCTTTCAACCCAGGCCATTTTATGATTTTATGAAGACAGCTCTGGCTATTACAATCTGTTGTCCTTAGTTTGTCTTGAACATTTTCTTAGAAAATATTTTAGTCAGTTCTTGGTAGTCACATTAAAAATATGCATCATGTTTCCAGGCTTAGGGTAAAGTCTGCATTGATTACTTCACTAGATCAAAGCATCCAAATTCTAGGAAATAATATCATGGAAGGTGAAGTCAGTACTAGGAGAGATTAAAATGTCACTGCCATGTAACTGGTTTTAGTTTCCTTCAGTAACTATGGCTTATTAATTAATTTCAGATATGCTAATTTATTTATTTTTTTAAAAAGCTGTAACAAATTCAAATATAGGAAGTTTTGTATCATTGTAGGCCATTTTCAACTAAAAAACTCTTGACAAAAATACTCTGATCAACATCACTGTATATTTTAAAAGAGTTAATCAGAGAAAAAGTCACATCAACATTGTAAAAAAAGTGCAGGAAAAAAAAGACAATATTGATTCCTCAAAGACATTAAGCCTTCTTTGTGTCTAATCATAATATTACTGTGTTTGGTAAAAAGATCAAAAAATGTGTGTAGTGTCTAGATCTGTGTTTTTAATGATAAAAATATGGAGCCTAAAGGAACAATAATATCGTCCTGATGTTTCAATGAAAACAAGAAGGTTATCTTACTCATACGTCATCTTGAGTCTATAAGAAAGAAGCTATGAAGCAAGTATCACTAGAAATTGTCATGCTTTATTTTATACAGACAGGTTGGATTGATGGGTCAAGGCCAATTTTATGAGGTTCAACAGGGCTCAGTGCCAGGTCCTGCACTTGTGTCACAACAATGCCTTGCAGTGCTACAGGCTAGAGGAACATTGGCTGGAAAACTGCCCGACAGAAAAGGACCTGTGGGTGCTGGTCAACAGCAGCTGAACGTGAGCCAGCAGTGTGCCCACGTGGCCAAGAAGGGGGTGTGCCCAGCAGGACCAGGGAAGTGATCGGCACTGGTGAGGTCACACCTCATATACTATGTCCAGTTCTGGGCCCCTCACTTCAAGAAAGCCATTGAGTGGCTGGAGCGTGTCCAGAGAAGGACAACAGAGCTGGTGAAGGGTCTGGAGAATGAGTCTGTTTAGGAGCAGCTGAGGGAGCTGGGGTTGTTTAGCCTGAACAAAAGGAGGCTCAGGGGAGACCTTATCACTCCCTAAAACTACCTGAAAGGAAGCTGTAGCAAAGTGGGAGTTGGTCTCTTCTCCCAGATAACAAGTAACAGGATGAGGGGAAATGGCCTCAAGTTGCACCAGGGGAGAGTCAGTGCCATGGTCTAGTTGACTCGGCAGTGTTAGTTCATAGGCTGGACTCTATGATCTCATAGGTCTTTTCCAACCTAATTCATTCTGTAATATTAAATGAAATTTCTGCACTGAACAGGTGGTCAGACATTGGAACAGGCTGCCAAGGAAATGGCGGAATCACCATCCCTGCAAGCATGAAAAACCCCCATGTGAATATGCACTTGGGAACACGGTTTAGTGGTGAACATGGCAGTGTTAGGCTAATGGTTGGACTCGATGCTATTAAACAAATCAATCTTTTCCAATTTAACAATTCTATGAGTCTATGATTTTTTACCCTTCCCATTTAGGCAGAAACACAAGACAGAAATGGATGCAGGAGAGGTGGGAAGCAGCTCTAGTGTCCTTCAATGCTAGCTCTAAAATAGATTTTCTTACATATGAAGTCATTTAACTTTTGTGCATCAGCCACCTTCCCTCACAAGTAAAATGTGCAGTGAAACTCAATTAATATTTGTGCAAAACGGACAGAATGTAGCTATCTATGTTTCATTTAAGGAAAATTCTGGAGGAGGCAAAGCCAATCCAAAAATGTAACATTTCATCAAAAATGTCACAAATTATTTTAATCTCTTCTCCTTAGAGCAGGAGCAGCAGCCCCTGAAGGGAGGGCTGACCTCTCTCTTGCACCTTACCCCCTATCCTCCAAACTCCTCTGCAGAGCTGAATATCCTAGAAGTCAGCCTTCCTGGTAGCTTAAAGGATCAACAAAGTATGGCAATCAGCAGTATCACTGAGCCAACTCCCATGGCAGTATAGATGTACCTTTCCTCTATATGAATATTTCCGCTGCAAATAGCATTGGGAAAATGGTTCCGTTTTTGCATGCAGACAAAGACTTCTAAATGTAAGGATTTTTGTTGAAAAGGTAACCCTTCATCCTCTGCAGTGTGCTTCAATTACTATTTAAGTGGCATGTCTATTTAGTTTAAAAATGCAGATTCTTGCTGTATCTGTAGGTCTCAACTTCCAGTGGTATTTCCTAAAGCTTTCTATGGCTTTCCAAGATTGTATCAAGTTTTACTGAATTATAGCCCTAGCTTCAGAATAATACTTGGGTTGATTTAAAACAGACCTTCAGAAACAACATTGTCTCTTCTGGCTTAATGCAATTTTTGGAAGTTGAATGGCTGATGTTTGTTTTACCGCTGCATATTCTCAGACTTCTTGAGTTACTGGAATCCCAATGCATGGGATTTGTGTTTGGCCAGGGACAGGCATGCAAGTGTGTGATGGATAAATCTGCATGCTGGATCATGTCAGGGGCATTCAGGGGCCTCCAGGGAACATCCCTGGCAGAGGAACAGACTTTCCAGACAAGCCACTCACTCATACAGGGCTGCTACGGTGTAAATGTGGATGGTGCAGGCTCGACCATAGTGTGAACAGCAGTCTGGATGCCAAAGAGTGAATTTCTTACGCAGAAGGCAAGAGTTGACATGTCTGTGTTCTCAATGTGTTTGTTTTATTGCATGCCCTTGGCGGTACTATTAACCAGCAATGCTGAGAACAGTCCCCTTTGTGCCATCCTTTGCACTGGATCCAAAGGGCTTATTGGTTTCATCATTTCCACTGGAGAGGATTAGATGCAAGAAGTCCACCCAAGCCAGATGAGAACAGAAATGCAGAGAGGAGAAATGCACTCAGAGAAGAGTGCAGTCCTGTCCTAAAATTGTATGAAAAGACTCATGAGGAACAGGAAATTGTAATGAAGGGCCAGCCAGTCTGGGGCAGAAAGCTCTCTCCATAGTAATCGCTTGACTAGTGTTCCTGAGGACTGAGTCTCTGCAAATTCCAGATCTGGCTCCCTCAGGGATAAAGAAATACGGAGCCATTTGCTGTGTCCTCCAGTCCTAAGGAGGGGAAAGAGGTTTACACAGTCCTGAGCCCTTCATTATGCTGAGTGCCCTTGACTCACCCAGTTTTCTTCTCCCCACCCTGATTTCCCATCCAGCACAGCATCCAGCAAGGTGAAATAAAATGCAGTACTACTTCGTGCATTTTGGCCATCATCAGCCCTGCCCCCAAAAAGCCCACCTCCTGTGTTGCTCTATTGGTGGAGTTGGAAAACAAGTGAGAGCAAGCGAGTACCCACAAACCAGCCCTGATTGAGTAGATCAACCCAGATATTATTATCTCAGGAGTTTTCTTAAGGCAACTGGTTTACAAAATCACAATGATTTAATGTTATATTTATAAAAACAAATTTCAAAAAGCTGTAAGTGCTCAGCCCACAGCTACAGCTGTTAAGGGCTTTGTAACCATAAACACGTAAAGTATTTCTGTTGGTTTCCACACATCAGTAACTATAATAGATGATAAACTACAGTTAAAAGAGCCTCAAAGAACCTTTTATTGCTCATTTCCTCATAGCTCTCCAAGGAGCTTGACAGGAGATAAGCATCCCTTTTCATCCCTTAGACTTCAAGAAATGATACAGCCCAGAATAAATTCTGACCATTTTGTTGGTCAGGATGTGGCAACCTAGAAACCACAGAACTAATAACAGTTAAATAAAGTAACAGTCAAATGAAAAATCCTCCCTTAACTGATTTCAAATATTTAAGTGTTACAGCAATAAACATTTATTGTTGAGTATTTCAATTCTCGCCATGGGAAACAGCAGCCCACGGAAGCAAGGATAGAAGAAAAGGCACCTCTGTCTTTCTGTGGGTTTTCCATGGCACATACAGAAAGTTTAAACAAATCCAGGTGTTTCCATAAAAAGGTAATCTTCCAGTTTGGGCTTACATTTGAACAGAAAGGATCTGGAAACCTGTTGTTTAAGGAAGATAGCAAAGATTTGTCATACCATTTACCATTGGACTGAAGACAGCAAGAATAGGCGAGAATAATCAGTTACCGTAA